CGCGACGCACACTGCGACGGGCGATTCGTCCACCGCGCGCGACGACCGACGATGCGCGCGCGGTCGAGGAGTCGAGACGACGGGCGCGAGCGATCGGACGACCGCGCGCGCGAGAGATGGGCGCGCGAGCGGTGGTGGGCGGAGGATGCGCGCGATGGGGACCGTGGACGCGAGCGACGCGATCGCGGACGGGACGACGACTGGGCGCGCCGGGAGCGACCGCGCGCGCGCGGACGATCGAGGGAGAGTGGATATCGATCGCGCGCACCGTACGAGCGCCGAGAACGGTCGAGGGATGGCGCGCGAGAGGAGTCGGGGGGGCGCTTCGGACGACGGGACGAAGGCGGCGGCGGACGAGACGAACGGGACGCGCGGGAGCGAACGTCGCCGGATGAAGAGCGACGGCGGTTCGGGGGAGCGCCGAGACGGCCGCACGCGCGGGAGGTGGAGACGCGTGAGGCGTTGGCGGAGCAGTGGTTGGAGTCGCGGGCGGTTACGTACGAGCGGTCGCGGAACGCCGATTCGGAGCGCGCGCGAAGAGAAGTGCACGTGGGTAATCTGGTCTCGGGACAGATCGGGGCGACGACGCTGTGCGAGTTGATGAACATTGTGCTGCAAAAGATCGTTCCCGAGGCGTGCCGAGCCGTGGGCGGGTTGCCGCCGGTGCTCTCCATCATCATGGACACGCATCAGAAGTACGCTCGTTTGGAGATGCGGAGCGCGGCGCTAGCGACGGCGGCGCTTGGATTGGACCAGATGCACGTCGTGGGACGACCGTTACACATCACCAGACCCTCGAGGTACTTTGACGATCCGGAAGAGAAGCGATCGGTTTTGGACGTCAAGTACGTGCTCCCGGCGCCAGAGCGCCTGGCGGAGGTCAACGCGGAGTTGGACAAACGCGGCACGGCCGCGACGGCTCCGAAGACTGAGACGAGCGATTATGCGAAGAAGGAAGAGACGCGTGCGGATGCGTCTACGGAGTATCTGTGCCTGGAGAACATGGTTGATATCGCCGTCTTGCGCAGCGGACGAGAAAGGAAAGACTTGCAGTACGATGTCGAGGATGAGTGCAGCAAGTGTGGACGCGTGGTTCGGGTTTTCGTCCAATCACCGAGGGACGAAGATATCAAGCAAAACACCGTGAGTCGCGTGTTCGTGCAGTTCGAACGGACTTCGAGCTCGGAGAGTGCGTACAAGATGATGCAAGGTCGCACGTTTGGCGGTCGAACCGTCACCGCGCGTTACATGAATGCGACAGAGTTCGATCGCGAGTACCACTCGAGACGCTCGTAAATAGGATTAGTGCGTTTAGTGCGAATTTCCAGTGTAGTTCCGCGTTGATTTTACAATTTGTCAGCGTCGCGCAAAAAATAACTCGTTACTTTGCAAAAAGTTTCTTGTCGAGCTCATCGCGCGTCTTGTCGCGCAATAGGAAAAGCCGCTCCGCGCGCTGCGTGATGGTTCCGCCACACTTCAAACCATGTCTCGTGAGTTCGCGCTTCAAACGGTCTAACCCAAGCGCTTCAAGCTCAACGCTGGACGAGTAGAGTTTCAGGTCAAGTTCCACTTCCTCTTGAACTTCCTCCGTCTTCGGCGCTGTTGAAGCCGGTTCCGCGTTACGCTCGGCTTTCCGCTCCGCGGTTTTGGGCGTCTCAACCTCGGCTGCTCGCTCGCACGTCTCCGCCGAGGGGCTCGCGACTCTTGCTCGTTTATTGGCCGTCGATGCTTTCGGAAAGAGCAACGCTGAATCATCGAAATCGTCGTCGCTCTCGTCACTCTCGTCCCAACTCTCCACCACATCTTTCCCATTTGCCGCACTCTTTCGCTTCGCCGCCTCGAGCGCGATCGCCTTGCCTATCCCCGAAGCGACCGCCGCGTTCACGCTCTCGTTCACGAGCTCTCGCTCCGCCTGATACGACTCCCTTTCCTTCTCCTCCAACTCTCGCAGTCTCGCTTCCCCGCTCACGCTCGCCTGCTTACTCGCCATTTTCTCCGCCTGAATCTCCTTCTCCCGCTCCTCTTTTCTCGCCTCCCACTCCGCGATCTTCCGCTCGCCGTTCACCGCGCGCAATCGTCGTCCGCTGAGGTCCCGACACGCGTCGAAATTCGTCGTCTGCCGCCCCCGCCTCGCCGCCGTTCGAAGCTGCGTCCCGAATCCACCTTTCCCACCGATGAGCGTCGCCGTGACCTCCGCCCGCGCGTGCGTCGAGCCACCACGCGCGCGTCCGAGAAGCGATCTTCTCGAAGAGAATCGCACGACGGCGCCCTTCGGACACAACCTCGCGTCCGTCCGCGCGCACGCGTCGCGCAGCGCGCGATCGAGCCCGTCGCGGTCGCTCGTCGCGTCGATATCCACGTCCACGCATCGCGTTCGGCCGTCGAGCGCGCGCACGAGGGCGACGACCACGGGCATGGTGCTGGTTGACGAGGAACACTGTGCGGCGCGCGACGCGCGTCGAACGCGACGGGGGTCGTCGCGAGCGAACGCGTGGATCTGCATCCGCGACGTCGAGGTTTTGACGGCTACGTAAATTCTGAGTCGCAATGATACAGCTATGCTACACGAGCGGTACCGGTACCGTACCGGTACCGGCGCGCGAATGCGCGCGGGCGCGCGTCAGACCGAATCGTCCCTGGCGTATTCGCCGCGCTGCGCCCTGGCGACGCGGTCGAAGCACGCTTTGAAGTGGTGCGCCGATTCGACGAAGACGGATAGGAGGAAGACGACGAGACCGATGGCGAAGTATCCCGCCAAGGGCTTGTCCGCTGGGAAGGCGATGAAAGACACGATGACGGTGAGCGCTTTGCGCAGAGTGCTCACGGCGGTGGCGGCGGTGGCGCCAAAATGTTTGGCGATGATGGAGAACGTGTAAGCGCCGAGATAAAACGTAACCGAGCGCGCCAGGAGCAAGGGGAAAGCGCCGGGAACGGTGCGCATGTAGCGCAACGAGGCGTTGCCCTCTATGAAAACCACGGCGGCCAGGGCGAAGACGGTCCCTATGGCGTTCGAGTACAGAATATTCTCCTGCACGCTCGCGCCGTGGTTGCGCATCGCGTGCTCGGATACGTTACTCTGCAGAGAACCTAAGAAGATTGCCACCACAGACAAGCCGAACCCCAGAGCGAACTTTGCGTCTCGTCCCAAACCGATCGACGCGTCGCCGTCGTCCGTCGCCGCCACCTCTGGTTCCTTTTGACCTCCGACTTCGTGTTCGGCGATGCCAAAAAACGCCACCGCGACGACTAAGAGCACGGCCGCAACCATTTGGTGGAGTTTATATTTCCGTTTCAACCAGATCGTTGAGATTCCCATCGTGAACACTAACTTTGAGCTCCGCAACACCGTCCCGGTGGCGTAGTTGATCCACTTGTAACACAACTTCCCCACCGCGCTGTACGCCGCCAACAACAGCGCCTGCGCCGCGTACAGCTCCATCGGCGCCTTCCTTTTCGCTCGCAGCGTCCCATTCGCGATCGCACTCGCGCTCGCGATCAACGTGAACGCCAACAGCTCCGCCAGCGCCACCGTCCAGTAGTAATCAAACGCCGGCAGTTGTCTATACATGTACTCCTCGAAGTAACACGACGCGCCGACGAAGACGACGCACAGCGCGCTCGCCACCGCGAACGCGCGCGTCTCCTCCATCGCGACGCCGAAGACGCGCCCACCGTACGCCGCGCCACCGTCCTCCGCGCGCGGTCCCGCGCATTCGCTCGTCTCCCTCGACGTCGCGTTCACGGCGATCGCGCTCGCGGCGACGCGCGCGCGCGCGGGGTCGTCCGCGGTCGACGTCCCACCGCGACGCTCGCGCTCGAGCAGGGCCACGCGCTCGGTCATGCGCGCGAGCGAGGCGTCGCGCGATGTCGACATCGCGTCGTCATCATTCGCCCCGCGTTCCATGTCGCGCACCGCGTCCGCGGGCACCGCGCGGGGCGTTCGCGTTCGCGCGCGCGCGCGCGGACACCGCGTCGTCGCGCGCGCGAAAGCGGACGCGCGAACGGCGTCGGCGACGCGCGCCGTGTGCGTCATCACGGGCGGCGCGCGTGGACTCGGATATCACCTCGCGCGCGCGCTCGTGGCGCGCTCGTGCGCGGTCGTGCTCGCGAGTCGTGACGGCGCGCGCGCGGAGACGGCGTCGAGGACGCTGGGCGCGGCGTGTGCGTTCGCGCGGTGCGACGTGGGAGAGACGGCGGACGTGGAGGCGTTGGGACGGCGGGCGCGCGAGACGGCGGAACGCCTGGACGTCGACGTCGTGTACTGGATAAACGCGGCGGGCGCGGTGACGAAGAACGCGCCGTTGTGTGACGTGGACGCACGAGAGATCTCGGCGGTGGTTCGGGCGAATTTGCTCGGTCCGTTGCTCGGGGCGAGGACGTGCGAGCGATTGGCGAGAGAGACGTCCAAGCGCGTGGTCGTCTTCAATTTTGGTTTCAGCGATTGGGGGGCGAATCTGTCGAAATCGGCGGCGACGCACAAGTCCACGAAGACTGGATTGAGCGCGCTCACCAAGGCGCTGAACGCGGAGGTGCGGGCGATGTCGCCGCCGATTCGATGCGAGTTTCATCAACTCTCGCCCGGTTTGGCTCTGACGCGCGTACTCTTGGGAAACGGCAACGCGAATCCCATCTCGAAGCGCGTGTTCAACGCGCTCGCAGAAGAACCGAGCGTGATCGCCGATGCCCTGGTCGATCGCATGCTCGCTCTTCCCGAGGGATCGACGTCGCCCGTGGAGTATCTCACGCCGCTCGAAGCCGCGCGGCGCATGTTCGATGAACTCCCGCGCATCGTCACCGGCTCGGGCGGTCGTCATTTCGACGCAAACGGCGATCGCGTGCGAACATCTAGCGACGTTAGATACGACGACGACGGCGTCGAGCTCTTACCGTTCGAATAGAATCATAATCACGTAGATAGCGACGAAACGTCGAGCCCGCGCCCTTCGCGCGCGCGCGCGCATCTTGTCCGCACTTCTCGCCCGCGTCGACCTTCTCCGCGTCAACGCGCGGCGAGGGAGTCGAGACGAACGCGAACAAACGGTGGATCTCGGCGTCGTCGCGCCCATCGCGCCCCGTCGACGTCGCTCGTGACAGGTTTCGTCGTCGTCGATCTCATGTCGTCACCGCCGGCGCGCTCGTGGGCGCTCGTGACGCTCGCGTTCGCCGTCTTCGTCGCCGCGGCGCCGGTGTGGATCTCCGTGGGGGCGATCGCAGCCGTCGTCGCGACGATTAAAGCGACTCTGGGCGCGCGCGGTGGCGAGGCGAGCGGAGACGGGACGCGCGTCGGCGCGGATGCGGACGACGCGGGAAAAGAGCCGACGGCGATGCCAGTGGCGAAGACGACGGAGAAGACGACGAAGCGAACGAGTGCGATAGGTATAACGAGCGCGGCACCCTCAGAACCGGTCGCGCTCACGGGATCGGCGGCGATGCTGGCGAAGATGCGTAAGAGCGCGGCGGTGACGGGCGAGACGCGGGACGCGCGCGCGGGGGAGGCGACCACGGCGAGCTCGAGCGCGGCGGCGGAGACGGGGTCGGGAGATTCCTCTATTCGCGCGTTCATTTTGCACGGCGGTGAGGCGGCGGGACAGATCGCGAAAGATTTGGCCGTCGAGGCAGAGCGTGACCACGGCACGCCGGTTCGCGTGCTCAAGATGGACGATTTCCGTGACATGGAGTACGATTCTGCGCCGTGCGTGGCAATTTTCGTCGTGGAGACGGTTGAAAATGCGCAGCCGGCCGAAGCTGCTGGATCGTGCGTCCGATTCTTCAATCGTAAACGTAAGGAGGGTACAAACGGAGACATGCTCAAAGACAAGTTGTTCTTTGCCGTTCTGGGTCTCGGCGATACGAATCTATTGCTCGATCGCCAGACCACGACGGCGAAGGATTGCAACCAATCGGCACAGACCTTGGATTCTGCGCTCGCCGCGCTCGGCGGCACACGCATCGTCGATCGCGGCGAAGCAAACGATGCCATTGGTCTTGACGAAGACGTCATACCGTGGTCGAAACAAATGTTTCCCAAATTTGTCGAGACGAACAAGAGTTTGGAAGCGACGAAGAGCGCAAAATTGTGTTTTTTGTACGGTTCTCAGACGGGTAACGCTGCAGAGATTTGCAAAAATCTCGCCGCTGAGGCCGGAGAGAAGGGCTACCCTGTTGAGGTGTGCGCCATGAACGAAGTCGAACCGGGTGACGTGTTGAAACCAGGAGCGGTCATCACGTTCGTCGTTTCCAGTACAGGGGATGGCGACGCCCCCGATAACTGTGATACGTTTTTCACTCGACTCAAGCGCAAGGCGAAGAAAGAGAAGGGTCAGGGAGGCATCGGAGTTCAGTACTCTGTTTTAGGCCTCGGCGATCAAAACTACAGCGCGTTCATGGCTGTTCCGCGAATGTTTACACAAATCATGGAAGATCTCGGAGCGAAGGCTTTTGCGAAACGCGCAGAGTGCGACGATACCCTTGGTCTTTACGAGCAAGTCGACGCCTGGACGAACGCTTACTGGGCGCGTCTCGAAAGCGCTCGCGTGAAGTCGCACAAACTGCGCATCGGCGAGACCGTTGAGGGAGACGTGGCGGTCGCCGCGCCGGAGGCCCAGGTCAAGGAAATCGAGGTGCCCAAGAAGCAGAGCATTGAGGGCGTTCCGCCGCTACCCATCTGTCGATGTGAAGTCGAGTGGATGCCAAAGACAACAGAAGTGGACGCTTGTCCGGTCAAGCACGGTCCAGACTCGGATGGAGCGTACACCGTCACCTCACCTTACATGGCCAGTATTTCCAAGCGCGAGCTACTCACCAGTCCTACATCCGATCGTCGAGTGTTACACTTGGAGTTCGATCTCGGATCGAGCGCCATCTCTTACAAACCTGGGGACTCTATTGGGGTGATTCCGCAAAACGACAAGAGCCTGGTGCAGGGCATCGTCGCACGTCTCGGTCTTGAGGCGGATGCCGTCTTCACGCTCAAATGGAAAAAAGGAGACAATGATGAGCATGCAACGCACCCCTTACCGCACGTGCGCACTCCGTGCACCGTCGAATCTGCCTTTACAAATTTCATCGATGTGACCGGGTGTCCGCGCAAGTCGCTTCTTCGATTCCTCGCAGAACACTGCACCAATGCGGAGGAGAAAGACGCGCTCTTGCACTTATCTTCTCGTGGTGGACGAAGCGATTATGAAGCTCAGATCCGATCGCAGTCACCCACTCTGTTGACACTGTTGGCACGTTTTCCAAGCTGCGCTCCCCCATTGGCTGAGCTATTGGACTCTCTCTCTCCGCTCGCGCCAAGATTGTATTCCATCACGTGCTCTCCGGAAGTGGCACCGACGAATCCTTCGGTTGCGTTCAGTGTCGTCAAATTTGAAGCTCCGAACGGAGAGGACCGCCGCGGAGTCGCGACCAACTGGCTCGACGCCCTGTCCGAGAGTGCTCAAGTTCCGGTGTACATCAAGCCAAGTCTGAAGTTTGGATTGCCCGAAGATACTGCCGCGCCGATCATCATGATCGGCCCCGGGACCGGTGTGGCCCCGTTCCGCGGCTTTCTTCAGGCCAGGCGCGCCAAGGCTAAGAAGGGTGAGAAGTTATCGGAGGCAATACTCTTCTTTGGCTGCCGAAGACGTGACGAGGATTTCCTGTACGAGCAAGACTGGCAGAGCTTCGTCGACGACGGCTCTCTCACTAAATTCGTGTGCGCCTTCAGCCGCGAGACGAGCGAAAAGGTGTACGTTCAGCACAAGATCCAGGAGCACGCCACCGAGGTCGCTCGCTTGATCTCTGAAGGCGCATACATCATGGTGTGCGGCGACGGGGCGCACATGGCCAAGGACGTCCACGCCACGCTCATCCGAGTCATCACCGACGCCGGCGTCGTACCAGACCAGAAGACCGCGGAGACCCTGCTCATGGATTACACCAAGTCCGGTCGCTACGTCCGCGATATCTGGAGTTGATTGATTAAAGTTGTTTTGTAACGCAGTGCCCACTTTTCATTTTCAAATACAAACCTGGCGAGTCGCTGGTGAGTCACGATCAGCACTTGAAGAGAGTTCACGCTAAGTCTCTTTTTCTCAGGTTCTATGACGCAGGAGTTAGGACCGCACAAGGAGCGATCGAACAGAGTGTAAAATTACTCAACGTCACGCGTCCCGCTCACTCATCGCGCAACACCCATACACCCACGAGCGCGAGACCTCACTGCGACGCGTTCGCGATCGGCGAGATGCGACGTCGCGGTCGAGAAATCGACCGTGCGTCCTTCGGCGCCGTCCTCGTCGCCTCCCTCGCTCTCCTAGCCACCGCGCGAGCGAGCGACGAGGCGACGCTCGCGACTGAACACCCAAAGTCTCGTGCGATTCCATCCCGCGTCTCTGGCGCGTCGACCTCGGCGTCCGCGGATCCACATGGGGCGGTGACGGTCCTAAAGGCGTCAAACGCGCGATTCCCGGCGTCGTTCGCGTTCGGCGTCGCGACGTCGGCGTGGCAGATCGAGGGCGCGGGTGGGAAGCGCCCAGAGTCCACGTGGGACGCCTTCGCGGCGGCGACGCTCGGACGCGACGCCGCGGCGGAGATGCGACGAGGGATCGAGTTTTACGAACGGTATGAGGACGACGTGAAGATGATGTCCGAGGCGGGGGTGAAGAACTTTAAGATGTCACTGAGTTGGCCGCGGCTGATGCGAGCGGATGGGACAAAGCGCGAGGAAGGCTTCAAGTTCTACGAGCGCGTGCTCGGTGCGCTGCGGAAGAGTGGCATCGAGCCGCACATCACGTTATTTCACTGGGATACGCCGATTTGGCTATGCTTCGCGAACAGGACGAGGTCGAGCAATGGCGTGTGTGAGGGCGCGTGGGCGCGAGACGAAGTCGTAGAGGCGTTTGAGACGTACGCCGACGCCGTGTTCGAGCGATTGGGCAAAGGAGTGAAGTACTGGACCACTATTAGCGAACCTAAAACGATTTGTGAGCTCGGGTACGGTGCGGGAATGCACGCCCCGGGACGCCGGGGCGTCGAGGAGCAGCTCAAGGTTGGGCACAACATGTTATTGGCCCACGCGCGGGCGGTGGCATTGTATAGGAAGAAGTACGCGGATTTGGGGGGAAAACTTTCGCTGAATTTGAACAGTGCATGGGCCGAACCGGCGTCGGATTCGATGGACGACGCCACCGCCGCGGCGAATGCGATGGACGAAGAGCTCGGTTGGTTTGCCGATCCGGTGTTCACCGGAGACTACCCGAGAAGCATGCGTTCGCGACTGGGTTACTTTTTGCCGCAATTTACGGAGGAGCAGAAAGCTCAAATCAAGGGCAGCGTTGATTTCTTCGCGCTTAACCATTACACATCTTACTACGTCAAGCACGTTCCCGCCCCGGTGGCGGCATCGCAATTGGGAATTGGCGGCAAGCCGCAGCCGTGGGAGATCACACTCTTCGCGGAGTCTAGCAAGGAACCGATCGGTAAGGAGGCTCAGAGCAACTGGTTGCGCGTCGTTCCGTGGGGTTTGGAGAAGATTTTACTCCATATCAAAGAAAAGTACGACGATCCGGAGATTATCATCACCGAGAACGGTGTCGACATTGCGGAGAAGGGCGACATTGCGGAAACGCTCGACGATTCAGAGCGTGTGCAGTTCATCGATGCCTACCTTGGCGCCGCTCGAAGCGCCATGCGTAAAGGTGCAAAGGTGATCGGGTATTTTTATTGGTCCATGTTCGACAACATTGAGTGGGTCGATGGCGCTTCTAAGAGATTCGGTCTCGTGTACATTGATTACAGCGGCAAGTACGGACAGAAAATGAAGCGGTATCCGAAGAAATCTCTCGAGCATTACTCCGCGTACATGCGGGGTGAACACGCCGAAGAACCCGAAGAACCCGAGCCCGCGCTCGGCGTAGCTCGAGAGAACAACGCGATGGATGACATGATCGCATCTTTCGGGAAGAGAAGCGACGGCGAGGCGCTCGCGATGCGAGGCCTCGGCGTCACGTTTGCGTGCGTATTCATCGCCGCCGCGCTCGCCAAGCGCGTTCGCATCGACATCGACGACACCCCGAACGAACACTCGGGATTGGTGTGAGAGTAAACTAGCCGAACTAATCGACCTTAATAGACTTGTGTTGCAAGAGAGACGTTGTCCTCATCGTTTCCTTCACTCGCTCGCCTCAGAGCGCGCAGCGCCATGCTCCGCGCCGCCTCTCTCCGAGCCATCGTCGGCGTTCGCGCCACCGCGTCCTCCGCTCGGCGCGCGAGGGACGACAGGCCGTCTCGACGAACCCTTCGCGCCGCCTCGTCGACCTCAGCGTCCGTATCGTCGACCACAATCGCACCTTTCTGTGAACTCTTGTCCAGGGACGAATCGTCTTCAAACGCGACGCGCCCGCTCGCTGTGGTCATCGGATGGTTCGGTTGCGAGCTCAGACACGTGAAAAAGTATGCGATGATGTACGTCGACGCGGAGTGGGACGCGGTCGCGGTGGCGCCGCCTAGCGTGAGCACGTTGGTGCCGAGCGTGGCGGACGCGTACGGAGACTACGTGTTGCGAGCGCTGTCAAAGAGACAGGCGACGGAGCGGAGAGGGCCGATCGTGGTCCACGTGGCGTCGAACGGCGGTTTCATATTCGCGGGTAACTTAATGTTAAAGGCGAGGAATGGGGACGCGCGGGCGCGGGCGCTGTTCGATCGAACGAAGGGGTTTGTTTTCGACTGCGCTCCGGGAAATTTGAGACCGGATATCATCGCAAGAGCGGCGGCGGCGGTGATCGGAGGCGCGAGCGCGACGACCGAACCGGCGCCCATTTTCGAGGCATTTGCGAAAGCTTTAATGATGCGGCCGTCGATCGACGCGCGTTTGCGGTCTATCGATGAGGTGTGGGGCAAGGCGCCAGCGTCGTCGGTTGAAGACGCGTCCTGGACGCCGCCGCACTGTCCCGCCATGTTCGCTTATAGTGAGGCGGATGTGTTGATTTCCCCGCGCGAAATCGAAGCATTCGCACGGTTGAGGGAAGAGAAAACCGGGGCGAGGAGTGATCTGCACAAATACCATGACGCGGCGCACTGCGAGATAGGACGGGAGGCTTCTCGCTTTGATGATTATCGCAAGAAGGTGCACACGTTCCTATCAGAGATTAGAGGCGCGACGGTACAGTAGTTACAGATAGTTAGTTCTCTAGCAATACAACAGGTTCATTAGTTAAGCCGCAAGTGACTTGACTGATTAACGTGTGCTCGAGCTCGAAGGAGTTCCCTGATCTCTTTCACGAAGGCACCGTTGGCCAACATGTCCTCGCACGGCACGTGGAGTCTGTATCTCCAGTAATGCTTCGGATTCGTCGGGTCGTTGATCGTCTCTTCAAGAGCTGGTCTCTTCGCGTACTCTGCGTCGAGTGCGAGCAGATCTTGGATCGGAAAGATGGCCAAAACACTCGGACTCTCGATGTGTTGCACGAGAATGTTGCGCATGACATTCGGCGTACATTTTTCATCGGTCCCACCATGAAACATGGCGTCGTAACGCTGTCTGCGCGCCTCATCTTGTTCCCACCACGCGCGCGTGGTCATAGTATCATGACAAGAAGGCGAGCAGACGGTTAAATAGGAATACGTGTGCGGTTGACCGAACTCCGCGCTCTCGCCGACGGGTGGCATGCGCTGGATGCGCAAGCCCAAAATGCCAAGTTCGTCCATCACTGGCGGAACGCACGTCGGCGTGAAACCGAGATCTTCACCGCACACGAGCATGTCCGACGAGCGCAATAGCGCCGGTAGCACCATGCGCGCCTGATTTCGCCACGTATCCATCTGACGACCGAAGTAATAATCATTCGCCAACTCGCGAAGCGTCTCGCGCTGCCATCCCTCGAGCGCTTGATAAGAACTCGTGTCTTCCAGACCGAATCGAGGATAGAAGTTGTCATAATTTTCTTTGTCCGTCAGAAGACACCTATTTTGGAACAATTTCATGAGACCATCGCGTATCGCGAGTTGATCTCCGATTAAGTTTGCTGGCGTGTTCTTATGAGGTTTCGTGGCGGCGATGATCGACTCCTCAGTCTGAAAGTCAGGTCTGAACTGCCACAAACCACGTTGGTCGTCTTTCTCAACCATGTAACGGTAAGCCACGTCTTGGACGTGATCGCCGAAAAGAGTTTCGAGCTCGTTCCACTGTATGTAAGGCTCCGTCAACCGGTTGACATCCCACAGTCCGCGCGAGGCGAGTTCGCTTCGCGTGAGCGGAAGAGACGGCCTGAAGCGCCCCATGCAGCCCGTCGTGGCGCTCGCGGGGAGCTCCCAGATTCTGAAGAAACCTAAGATATGATCGATGCGAATCGCGCTGAAATATTGCTCGAGATGTTGCATGCGGGCGCGCCACCATGCGTAGTCGTCCTCGGCCATGTGTTCCCAGTTATAGGTCGGGAATCCCCAATTTTGTCCGCGCGGGTCAAAGGCGTCTGGCGGAGCCCCGGTTGAGGTATCCATGCGGAATAGTCGCGGATGCATCCAAGTGTCGACGCTACGCTTGTCGACGCCCACCGGAAGATCTCCCTTCAGGACGATTCCCTTCGACTTTGCGTACGTCGCCGTCTCGAGCAGTTGCTCGTGCAAGTTGTACTGGAGGTAGTACCAAAATCGCGTGGACTCGTACAGGTCGCCTCCCTCGCAGTCGACCTTGTCCAAGACGTCTTCCGAATACTTCGCGAACACTCCCCATCGCCAGTGCTCGGCGGTGCCGAACAAGTCCCTCAACACGCAGAAGACGCCGTACGGTCTGAGCCAGTGCTCGTTCCTCGCGTAAAACTCCTTAAATCCATCCGTCTCGAAGACTTTCTCGCCGCTGTTGTAATACGCCCGACGCGCGAAAGAGAGTTTCTCTTTCACAGTCATTTCGTAATCGATCTCTTCCAGGTCCAACGCCGCGCGCGCGGTCTCGATATCCTCCGCCAGTTCCTCGTTCACTCCGGGCAAATCTTGCGCGCGCAGATACATGACGTGTAACGCGTGCACCGAGAGAGACGAGTACGGATACGAGTCCCAGAACGTGCCGTACACGCACGTATCGTTCACCGGTAACACCTGGACGACGGACATGCCGGTCTCGGACGCGAAGTCGACCACGCGGCGCAAATCCACAAAGTCGCCGCAACCGACGCTCTTCGACGTGCGAACGGAGAACACGGGAAGGGCCACACCCGCACCCTTCCACATCTCTCCAACAGAGAGCGCGCCGTCGCGATGAATCACCATCGTACTCTTCATTTCCTCCTCGCTCGCGCTCGGCGAACACACGAGCGCGCCGCGAACGTCCTCGACGTCCGCGCCCGCGTCGTCGCTCACGAAATACGCGTACTCAAACGGCGTCTCCGACGCGTCGACGTCAAACTCGATCCACCACACGTCGCTTCCCGCCGCCTTACTCATCGCCTTCGCTCGCGAGCGATCCCCCTTCCCCAACGCCGCGCACGTGCCGCGCACCATCACTCGACGCTCGCCTCGTTCGCGCGGCGCGCGAATCTCCAACCGCACGCGCGGTCCATCCGCGCCGCCCTCGCGCACCACTCCATCGCCCTCCACCCCCCCATCGCGCGCACACATCGTCCCCGCACTCGTCCCCACGACGTTCGCGAACGCCGCGCGCGCCAACACCGCCTCCCACGGCGTTCGCCCCCCCCACGCGTCTCGCGTCTCCGCCCGCGTCGTCCCGCGCCGTCCCCTTTTCAGATCCAGCATCTTCATCTCTCCGTCGAACGCCGCGACCGCGCCCCTGGCGTCGACGACGACGTACCTGTACGCGATCCCATCGTCGTCGTCGTCGCCGTCGACGTCGAGATCGACCACGGCTGTCCAGATTAATTCACGCGCATTCGCGCCGTGCGCGCACGTCATCGCCGGCGCCGCGCGCGCGTCCCACCGCCCGAGCGCCGCGCACGCGCCGACCACGCGCACGTGGTCGCCCCAATTCGTCCAGTACGTCGTCTCGAACGCCACGCGGACCATGGTGGGCGTCGTCGTCGGCGCGAATGAATGACGGATGATTGATTCGTTCGCGAGGCTCGAGTCTCCTCCGTGACGAGTCATGACCCATCAAACGACCCATCGCCCTCGGCGTCGGCGTCGCCACCGCGTCGACCCCGCGTCGGCGCCGCGCACGTCCACGCGCGCGGCGGCGATGCGCGCGAACGTCCGCGCGCTCGTGTGCGCGTGCGCGCGCGCGCGGACGGGGACGTGGAGACGCGACGGGGCGCGTGGACGATTCGGACGACGCGGCGGCGCGACGGCGGCGGGACGCGACGACGACGACGGCGACGACGACGGGCGGGAGGGACGATCGTTTTCGTCGCGCGATGGGGTCGACGATGGCGATTTTTCGACGGCGAAGACGTGGGCGCGGGCGCTGGGAAGGGAGAACGCGCGCGCGCGGGGGACGGAGACGCGACGGGGCGGGGACGACGGCGGGGCGAAGACGGGCGACGCGGACGCGTCGATGGACGAGGCCGACGACGATGGTGCGATGGATGTCGATGGTGGTGGTGCGTGTGGTGATGATGATGCGAGTGGTGGGACGCGGCGCGAGCGGGGAACGGCGGCGCGGATGCGGCGGAAGACGCGGAGGGATTGGAGCAAGGTGCCGGATGCGGCGCTCCCGCGCGTCGCCGTCGTCGGGAGACCGAACGTGGGGAAGAGCGCGTTGTTCAACAGGCTCACGGGGACGAAGCGAGCGATTGTGTACGATGAACCGGGGGTGACGCGGGATCGAATGTACACGCGCTCGTACTGGGGTGAGAGTGAGTTCATGATGGTGGACACGGGCGGTTTCGAGAATTTGCCGAGGAATCCAGAGGGGGCGCCGAAGATCGATCGCGTCGGTGGCGTGGAGATTTTACCAGCCATGATCGAAGCGCAAGCCGCGGAAGCGGTGAAGGAGGCGGCGGTGCTCGTGTTCGTCGTCGACGGGCAGGTTGGACTCACGGAGGCTGATAGAGACATTTATCGCTGGTTGAGACGCTCGCACTCGGACAAGCCGCTGCACTTGGCGGTGAACAAGTGCGAGAGCACGACAAAGGGTGAGGAGCAAATCATCGATTTTTGGCAGTTAGGTGACGTCACGCCGCTCGCCGTGTCGGCGATCAGCGGCACCGGCACGGGTGATCTTTTGGACAATGTGTGCGCGACGCTTCCGCAGCCGCCGCAAGTCGGCGACGGCGACGTTCCGGAGGAGGAGGAGGAAGTACCCGTCACCCTCGCCATCATCGGTCGACCCAATGTGGGCAAGAGCTCACTCTTGAACGGGCTCGCGGGCGAGATGCGATCGATCGTGAGCGATTTCTCGGGCACTACGCGCGACAGCATTGATACCATGGTGGAGGATAAGTACACGGGGAAGAAATACACGCTCATAGACACGGCGGGAATCCGTCGAAGGACGCAAGTGAAATCAGGATCAGACGGCGCGGAAAAGTTGAGCGTCGGACGAGCGTTACAGGCTATGAAACGCGCGGATGTGGTGTGTTTAGTCATCGACGCCACGCAAGGACCGAGTCAACAAGACTTTGTCCTCGCCGAGCGCGCGACGCAGGAAGGATGCGCCCTGGTTCTCTGCATCAATAAGTGGGACTTGGTGGATAAAGATACGTATACGATGAACAAGTACACGGACGAGATGCGGTTGAAACTGCGCGTGTTTGAGTATGCGGAGATTGTGTACACGTCTGCGCTCACCGGGCAGAGGATTCAAAAGATTTTAGACGCCGCCGACATCGCGAGCGTCAATCATCGCAAACGTCTTACCACGGCGACTTTGAACTCTGTGGTACAAGAGGCCACTCTGTGGAAGCTTCCGCCGTCCAGGAACAGCAGGAAGGGGAAGATTTATTACATTACTCAAGCTTCCATCCGGCCGCCGACGTTTGTCTTCTTCGTGAACGACCCAAAACTGTTCCCGGAGACGTACCGTCGGTACATGGAGAGGCAACTTCGCGAAAACATCGGTTTTCCAGGAACACCCATTCGTTTGCTCTGGCGTGGGAAGGGTGTCGAGAAGGTTGCAAAACCAAACTAAGTTCACTATTACAGGTGTCAGGTGTCACGACGTTTTTTTAGATTATGAGCAAGCACACGATGAACAAAGTTCCAATTGTAAGCAAAATGCGAGCCAAGAAGAGCTGATTCGCCTGAGCCGTCGCCGTGTCGATCCCCCTGAGTCCGAGCACGGTTGCCAAGCTCTTGGAGGATTCCAAGTCGTCGTCAGATCCGCCGGTTCGCGACTTCGCGCGTCCGGCGCTCTTATCACCGAATCCATACAGCGCGATCACCGTGTCCGACGCGATCGCACCCTTACACACCGGACACGCGTCGTTCCCGGCGTCCATCCACTTCCGTATGCACTTCCAACAGTACAGATGCCCGCACGGCGTCACCGCGGGCTCGCTCGCCGTGTCGAAGCACACGTTACACTCAAAACGTTGATTCTTCGCCTCCCCATCCTCGTCCTCATCCGCGCCATCGCTCAGCGAAGACCTCTTCCGCGTCACCACCCCTCCCGCGCGACGTCTTCGCACCGTCGACCCCTTTCCGTCGCCGTCGCCCGCTTCGTCCTTCGTCGACGCCGCGTTCGCCGCGCCCATCGCGCCTCGCCCGCTCGTGCCCTCCCCCGTCTCATCCATCGCCGTCTCCGGTATCCCACCCGTCGACGCGCTTCGTCGCGCGCGCGTCATCTCTCACCGTCGATGAATCGCCCGTGGAT